TAATTTTGATAAAACAGAAACATCTAGAACTCTGTTTGCCACACTTTAAAGACATCAGTAAGAGAGACATACCATTATGACTTGAATAGCTTCTTTCCAATAATATAGCATTTATAAATAAAATGATTTAAAATTAAATTCTATATTATAGCATGCATAATGAAACCCCGTGGTCAACTATGGTGGTGCTCAAGTGGGGTAGCACTTTCTCTGACTCTCCAAACAAATAACACATTTTATAAAATGAGCTGTGTTTATAGTGTGATTACTATATTTAATATCTATTATGTACAGGCTAATTTGGTATCAACATTTCCGTTGTTGTCCAGTTTTTAGGGTATATGGTTTTCACTCAAGATACCGTCTTTGGATTTATTTTTCAACTTTTCCTTTCATAATAAAACAATTTAAATACAATTTTTACTGTAAAAGCATATAAAATATTCCATTGTCGTCCAGCGGTTAGGATATCTGGCTTTCACCCAGGAGACCCGGGTTCGATTCCCGGCAATGGAATTTTGTTTATAGTGTTGAAATAAAGTTCACTTGTTATAGAGTACACAAGAAGACAAATGAGTTCTTTTACCTTTTTTTACTTCCAAAAAAAAAAAAGGAAAAGTAGTGAGGTGTAATTCCTACACAATTTATTTGGCACCAAATTCCTAGATGAATAACTAGGAAAATAATAACAATGGTTGAATGGCGGGTTGGATATTATTGTGAAATAGGCAAAAAGGAGAATACAACGGCCCAAAACAAAAGATATAAAAGATATAATTTGGACTGCCTAAAGTTTTTTCTTTTTTACTTGAAGTTCCTAAATTACAAATGCTTCTTAATTATATATATATATATATATATATATATATATATATTATAAAACCACATTATTATTTTATTTTTTTATTAAAATATCTATTTTCTTTTTAATTTTACTTTTTGAATGAAAAAAGTTGCATGGTTCTCTTAGATAATTTCAATTTTTTTAAAAAAAATCTTATGTTAGAATATATTTATAAAAAATATTATGTTAGAATATATTTAAAAGAAAAGTTGCAGGTTTTATAATAACTTTTCTATTTTTGTTATGATTACTGTACAATTGTTTTTCAGTGGATTTATGGACTTATAAATTATGATGTAACAATTATGAAACACATTTTCCTTTTCAAAGTAAATGTTATTGCATTACTAATTATATGTTAAATGGGTGTTTGATCCTTGTTAAGGTCAATATACCATTTTTATTAACCAATTACAATTTTTAATACCAATAATGCTTATCACTCCTTATAATATAATCTATTGGGCTTATGTTCTTCCTTTGGGATAGTGTCTCACCATTGAGCATGGTCTTTTTGATATTACTGTTCCGTTCACAATTGTGTTATTATCTTGATGTAAAGTCTTTCAGTTGACAACCTTTGTTTCTTTGAACAAACCTTTGAAGATGAATTACTTGTATTATTTCCTTTATCTTATCTTGTATTGGAAAATATTCTTTTGTTGAATGCTCATATTTTTCATGATATTGACCTTGTTATGTGGTATCAATGTTTGAGGTGTCAACACCTTCCTTGATGTTAGTATGAGGTTAATGTTCAATGCCTTTTGTAATATGTGCACCTTATTAGCATTCAAGGAAGTGTAATGAACACAATTGGATGCTTTTGGTTCCTTGATTCAAACATTGTGTTGTCATCATGGACATTCCTTTGCATACAACCTCTTTTTAATAGGACAATCTTAGGTCATACCTCATCACAAAAGTCTTTAAGTTCTTTCAACTGCATAAATTTAGCCACCTTACGTCCCAATTCATGTAGGTTAAATATGAGCTTCATGCACTCACTATCAATGGAGATACCTAGTCTTGGAGTAGTGATCATGTGGTGTAAGACTACATCAGGATTCATATTTCACATATTGAGATTCACTTTGCCAAAATGAATGCAATAATTCTTTTTTATCTTACCTAATTTTGACCATAGCAATTGGCATCAAATAGTATGGATGAATGGTCAAGAACCAATTATTGGACCTTGCTACCAAGGTGTCAAAACAATCTATGGATAAGTAGGTGGTTGGTTGAACCAACTCAATTTGATTCCTTTAAGGGACATTGAGAAGATATGACAAAAAATAACATCATTGGTTTAGAGCGACTTAAGTAACATAAACATTTATGTGCTTATCTTGTGCTTATGTCATGCCAATTAACAGACAAGGCCTTTCATTTTAGTAGCAAGGCTAAATCCATGATTATGTCAATAAAGGTATGTTAGTGTGATCATTCAACGGTTAGTGAGATGTGGGGTGAAGTTTGGATCTATGATATGATTTTTTGAATGTTTTCAACTTTTGTTCCAAGGATGAACATATAGAGCTCGAAAGAAGGCGATTGTGAATAATTAGTGTTTTTATGCTCTCCTTTTGTGGCCATCATGCGAGGTTTTAAAGGTTTCTTCCAACTTCCTTCTCATTTATACAACTTCTCTCAAAGCGGAACAATTCACTTCTTAAGTTTTGTTAGCTCTTTATAGAGTTCGACAAACAATTTCATCTCACTCATGTGATTCTCTTATATTTACGGTATTCATTGTTACTTATTATTTGTCATGTTTCTCATACCTACCATAAAACTTTTAAAATTCAACTGACCTTGTAATAGATGTCAAATATTTTTTATAGAGAATGAAATGATTTTATAAAAGTCCTATCTCTTTAACTTGATCTTGATTCCTGAAATATACCATAATGTGTCTTGTTCACACTTTCTTAATTTTAAAAAATAAACTAATTTTAAATTAATTTATGCTTAAATCAACAAAATATATTAATAATGTAATAAGAGTTCAATAAATAAAGTGTGCATACCTCATAAATCTAAACATTTTTGTAACATTTTAATATTTTTTACCGTATTAATTCAATCCCATAACTTTAATACTTAATTATTACCTTTTTAAATAATTAATTGTATAATGTTAATCATGCCGTAACGTTAGTTACGCTCCTTGGTAGGAAACAAAGTCGTTATATCTAACTAGCATCATTGGACAGCTCTAGAATTTAATATAGTTTAGTTTATTTGATTCAATAACACTGTTAAAAAATATTGTTAATATATATATACATCAAATACAAAATAATTTTAATTTAGCATGTTATTCTTCACTCACTCAAAATTTATTTAAATAGATAGCAAAGTTCAAAATAGATAAAACTATTAAATAATAAATATAAATAAAATATCATGTGATAAACTATTGCTATTATATGTATTGTTGATACACCATCTTCTTAAATATACTTTGTAAAATACACCATTACTCATTAAAATATTAGTACAAATAAATTTGCTTGTTCTAAAAGACAAATTTAAAACAATTGTACCAAAATACAAATTTTAAAAAAATAATGTTTTTAAACCAATTGTACCAAACTATTTTTCAGTGATTAATATTTTTTCTCTTATAACTGTGTTTGATTTTTTAGTTTTAGAAAAGATCGTTTTTTTCCTTTAACTTTCATTGAAAATTGCGTTTCAAACATATTTCATAATAGTATTTGAGTTGTTTATACTCATTGACATATTTTTTCTTCGGTATTAGTTGATAAACGCGTTTAAAACCTCAAATAAATTTAATTAAAATGACTAAATTTAAGTAATTATAAAGATGAGAGACTAAATTAGTCTAAAATTATGAAGATAGGCTAATTTCAATTTTCACTTAAAGTTAAAGAATAAAAAACATATTTAACCTTTTAAAAAATATATATTCAAATAAAGTCTATTAATAATTATTAACGTAATATTTGCAGTTCAAATATCTAGATACTTGTACCCGTTTCATTAACAAGTATTTAATGAATTACTCGTAGATATATATTAAGAATATTTATTTACTATGAATCATAAATTTTATTACCATCAAGAATATTCATTTTGTATTAAATTTACAAACTACTAGTGTGGATATTTTGTTGATCTTTCTTCCTCTTCAAACTTTTAATTGACTATCTAATAATTGGAAATGATGAATTATCCATAGTAGTTTTTGTTCAAATATTATTTTTACATGTCAGTAAATGAATTCCAAATTACAATTTGAAAATATACATTTTAGTTTGTCAAAATAATAATTTTTTCTCTTTTTCTCGTCATAATTTTAATAATGAATTTCTCTAACACCTAGATTGATTTCCCTCTACTTAAATAAGTGAAAGAAATAAGCTTTGCATTTTGAAGCCTATTCTCCACAAAGAAAAAAAAAATCCTAAAGTTCATTTGTCGGGTGTATGTATTCTCCACATAAAAAAGAAAAAAAATAAATTCAAAAGTTCATTTGATGGTTATATGATGACCTCGACAATTATACTTTGAAGAAGGAACGGCCATAAACTAAGTGTTGCCACCTTCAAACCAACATCCTTCAAAAATAAGAACCATTTAAAAAGATTTGAATTGAGCTTAACCACAACTCCCCAAATGTACTTACAAATTGATGTGAAGAGTTGCTTTTTATAGAAACAAATTGAGGTATTATAAAATAAACATTAATGAATGAAATATTTTAAAGTAATAAGTACCTTAAATATAATTTTATTAATCCTACAATTCATCTCAAATTATTTTAAATGTTATTTTACATTTTAAAAGTAATTAAATTATTTATGATTTTAAATATTTTTTTATTTAAAGTAATATGTAAAGTGAATTGTAAGATTAATAATAATTATATTTAAAATATTTTATTGCTTAAAATAATATATGGGATGAATTGTAGAATTAATAACATATAAAACATTTTGAAAAAAAATTAAATATTTAACTATTTTAAATAATAATGTACGAGATGAATTGTAGGAGAAATAATAATAATATTGAAAATATTTATTATTTTGGCTATTTTATTTACTACTGTTAGGTGATCGAAAACAAAACCAGTTAACTCTCATTTGCTAATGTCTGAAGGAGAAAAGTCAGAGTGCAAACATAACTAACTTGTAATGTATTCTTGCCATCATGTTCTGTATCCTGAGTAGTCTTTACCCAGTTCTTTGTATACAAAGTATGCTGATAACTAGTATTAACCACTTGAAACTAAAAAGTGAATCAACAACTCGTATCTGATTGGTTTAATAAAATAAATACATGTTCAAACAGTTTGGAGAGTCACTTCAGGTGTGAGGGTTGTCAACCAATCCAATAAAGCCTTGTTCACAAGCTCTGGTATCTCATCATGTGGACAATGCCCAGCCTGCAAGTTTACAAGAGTCGTTTTTGGATAGAACTCTTTGATTCGATTAGCCTTTCCTGGACCAACCCAAGGGTCAAGGTCGCCCCAGAGCAACAATAACGGGCAAGATAGTTCACTTAAGACAGCATTTAGAGTGTACTTGCTCTGATTCATCATGAACCGTGTCATTAACCTGCCGACAACATTGGGTGAAGTAGTGAAAACAAATAAACAGGAATAATTAGGAGAACATTGCTAAAGCCTGAGAAAGCGTCATTCTTACCCATATATACAACAGGAAAGCCAAAATAGAAATTTACATCACAGTATTAGGATCTGATTACAAGGTATAGAAATTCGGTCTCACATTGAAAGTATGGAATTCTGATGCGGGGTTTATAAATCTTGAGCTTTTTCTAACTACAATTGTTATTTTTTATGGTGCTTTTCTACCGGGTATTTCGATTGCAAATGTGCAGCACACATTTGCTCAAGCTAGTGAAATGGACTAGTGCAAAGCATGGGATTACATCCGAGGGGATTCTGAAGTCAATTTTATAAGGCCTTGGACTCTAACAATAATAGCTAGGCTTTACGGTGTAAACTTCGCAATGTCCTTTTCATCAAACACAAAAGCATTAACATGGACATCGTCATGTACCTGTAATAAACTTCTCCAGCATTTGGATCTTGAGCTGGCCTTGTTATAGATTCCACGAGATAGTCATCCACATTGGAAGAATTTATATACACCTGTGTTGAAAAACTATGCATTCAAACATATATATACAATGCGACTAGTAAGAAATAAATAGTAGAACGTTGTTGAAAGGGAATACGCAATCCCACCAAAGACAAAAGCCTCCAGGAATGATATTCTCACACTTAAAAAACCTACCATTTTAGTAACACAAATGTGCTTTATTAAGATGATAGCAAGAAACATACACTTTTTAGAACTGACACAATGCGAGCTGGTTGCTTTGCCTGCCAGAACAAAAATCCAAGAACTACACGCTGGAAAACTTCCTTCAAAGGCTTTAGGACAAACTTTTGTAGAGCTGTTTCTTCAGAAGTTTTACTTTCCCTTTTCTCATCACCAAATTGTCCAGCAGAATTTAGTAGAGCAACTCCATTTACAAGCTCAGGCAACCCAATTGCTGCAACCAAAGCAGTAAATCCTCCGAGGCTGAAAAATTATCATGATGGAGGGAAACAGCAAATTTATACTTTATATAGCACATATTGTTGCAATGTCAATTCTATAGATAAAACAAAATTTTACTCGAAATTTAGTATAAATAAGATTTTGGTCCTGTGGCTGTCAACTTGTCAATTAATTATTAGACAACTCAGGAGTAAGAAAAAGATAAGCATTGCATTGCAACAACCAAATTTGACAACATAATACTTGAGAATTAATTTGCTGAAGATAATTTTGAACATGTTTTCTAGTTAATGAAATCTCTGTTGATGAGGTAAACTAACATAATTACTAGTGTACGCATGTCTTGAGAGCCAATCAAACAGTGTCCAACAAGACGATTATGTTCGGGGGAAACCATGCATGGATAACATCATTAAAACTTGTGAAAGGAAGAAGGCTCTGGCATTTCAGACTATACCAAGATGTAAATTCAGCTAATATAGTTCTTACCTATTTCCAACTAAAACTGCTGGTTCTTTTACTATTTCCGTCACGAAGTCCACCACTTGATCCCTCCACACCATGGCATCATAATCGATAAGTGCTTTGTCACTCCACCCAAATCCAAGCAAGTCTATGGCATATACCCTATGTTTCTTAGCCAATTCTGGAATGTTGTACCTGGAGATATGAATAAAGATATATGATTATCTCCACATAAAAGTGATCTTATCGCACAGACAATTGAAGACACTAACAAAAGAAAAATTGGTGTAAAAATTACACACACCACAAAGACAGAACAGAACCACTCAAGCTTCTTAGCTTACAAGAAGGAGCAATAGTGATATCAGAATCTTGTTGCAGTATTTGTTAGCACATTATATGCTATGTATTGATAAAGTTACAGTAGAAACATACGATGAAAACACCTTGTAAAAATGGGCACACTCGGTTCGCATACTGTAAAAGGTTGGGTTCATTTTCTCCGTCTACTTTCACTCGGTCATTCCATGTAGATTCCGATCCCCGTCTGCAGCAATATGCTACAACACATACCCTTTACGACACAACCATCACGACTAATGTCTGGTAAACTACACGGATCAAAATATAAACGAAACCATAGTATATGGACCGCAACCTAAACCAAATACGAACAAGGACGCAAAACCTACAGGAATGAATGTTAGCAAACACATTATCTAACAAGCTTCTATTGACATACGCTTAATCCAACACGAACGACCCTGTAATTTCTAGTGAACTTGAACCCATAATAGATAATATGCAATGTGTCAGGTAGAAACTATGATTTCCAGGAAATGCTAGTAGCACAATCTCTAATACTTATACAAACTTTCAAACATACGCTCTTATTCACTGAAATTTACAATTGAAAATCCAAACTACGCTGGGTCTTACTTCTTATTTCCCAATCCCTGCTAGTTTCCAAAAGAAAAAACACTTTCCAAAAAAAAAAAAAACAGCAATCTGGACTCAGGTGAAATGCAAAACGAAGGTAAACTATTGGCGCCAAAAGATAAAAGGAGAAAAAAAGAAAAAAACCTCCAGTGGAACGCAGAGGCCCCAAAACCATGAATAAGAACAATGGGGGAACCTTCTCCTTGCACAACGTAGTGTATTTTATGACCCCTCCATGTCCAATAATTGTACCCTTCTGCTTTGTACGGCAATCTTTCAAAACCTGAACCCAGATTCCTTCTCCGTTAGCACAACATAAGCAACATTCAAAACAAACTCGAATGTTAGTCAGCATTAAATGCACTAACCATTGGAAGACGGCAGAGCTTCCGCGGTGAGAGTGGAAGAGGAGACCGAAACGCCGGAGGCCACAATTCCCTTAACCGCAAAAGTCCTCCGGCTCATTTCGCACTTGCTTCCTTGAAACGACACCAAAAGTCAGCAACGAAATGTTGTGAAAGTCAGGGAAAAGAAACAGAGATAGAGATAGATGCGTTACCTTGAAAAAGAGGGAGAGTGGTTTTAGTGAGGTGTGATGGGACGGAAGGAGAGAGAGCACATATGGAAGAAGCCATTGAATTGAACTGAACTGAAGTTTGAACTGGATTTTACTTGTTCGAGTTTTGTTTTGGAATTGGGAGTTTTGTGTGGTGAGTGATGTTTGAGCGTGGTGGCAGACTCCAAACCAGAAAACCGCTCTCACTCTCCATCATATTTTAGAAACACTATGGAGAATATGGATTATTTATGCCACAATTTATAAATACAACGTAATCATCATGTTATTTGTTTTTCCTTTGTTGAGCGTTCTTTATATTTATTATAAATTATTATAGCTAATAACAATAAAGAAGGAAAGTTAATAATACAGGCAAACAAATTATTAAATACTACACTCAAGGTTGAAGATAACACATGTTTAATTACAGTGAACTAAAGAATGAGAACGAAACTATTGATTATAATAATATTATGTAATAAGATGAAATACTTACACTGAAAAATATATATAATAAAAGTGTAATACTAATCCAAACAAAATCACATGTAAATTTTATGTTTGAGTTAGATATATTCTTAATAAAATATATTTGCAGACTGGGTTGGGTAGGATTTGAAAAAACCTATTACCCAGCCCATTATGAAATATCTAGTTGGTTTTTGCAAATTCTTTATGTTAAACTTAACATAATTCATTTTTGAGTGGATTGAATTAATATGGATAAATTGGGTTAATTTTTTTTGTAAAATTTATATAATTATCAATTTAATTAAAATATAATACAATCTTTTAAAAAAAAGTTTATCCAATATTTCAAGTAATCCAATGAATTATAATTATATTTAAACTAATTTAAGACACAAAAATAAAAACATAAATTTTGTCTTTAATAGAAATATAAGAGTTAAACTCAAGTCATTCATACTAAACTCTACACCCAATGTAACATCCCAAAATACAGTAATTACTATAATTCAGAATTAATTACAATTAACAGTAAATCCATGCAGTCTTTATATTAATAAAACGAAGAACAAAAGCCGAACGGCTTAAAGTACAGAACCACTATACAGGAAACGGAAATAATACAGTTTTATGACGAACGGTTTTACAAAATAAATAATCAAACGTTCAATTTCAAAAGCTAACATCTAAACTAAAAGAAAAACGAACGTCTACTGCTCCGCTTTCACTTCAACTTCCACTAAGTTTTCTTCCTCGATCACATCCTCTAAGGTGGCCTCGCCTTCTGCTCACATCAACACGGATGATCATTGCAAGACAGGACGAACGTACATATATAATGGACAACACAAGGAAAACGAAAGGGTAAGCTTATATAATTTAATTCATACATCAACATATACATTAACATTTCAATTCACACACAACAAGCAGCTTATCATAGACAAATATATATAAATCTATATATATACTAGACAGACCGTCCGGACTGTATGAATCTGTGTAGCTACAGGCGTCCTTGCACCCAAGTGGTGTAGTAACTGATACACTCAACAGCTGCCACTCGAGGTTAGTCCGTTCTTACATCGCCCATGTTAACTTATGGACTAAGGACCTCCTGCCATTCCCACACATGAACTACTCTCCTCTACGTGAAGATGAATATCACGGAATATCAAGATGGACCATGCCAGCATTAGCATAACCACAGTCATACTTTACCAAATTCAAAAATCAACATATATGAGACGTTCCTCCCTGGAACGCTCGTCCAAAATCCAATATCATATAATCGTTCCATATAGTGTTCACACTTTAAGTTCTCATAATTCATCATCATTTACATCTTTAGATTCAAGAGCATAAAATGAAGAACGTTCAGTCCACTGAAGAAATAGGACGAACGTTCAAAGAAAGGTACTGGATAAACGGGGAAGTATACAACGAACGTTACTATCTGTTCGGCCAGTTAAACGAATTGACTCGTTTGGATGTACCCTGGTACTTAAAGAAAATTTCATTATGAAGACCTTAGACCAGATCCAATGTAAGATGGAGGGTCAAGAATATTTAGAACTATTTTTGTAGTACTTCGCATACGGAAGACGGATGCCAGTAGTTGAACGAACGTAAGGAAAAGTGAATATTTTAAGACTTGAACGAACGCTATTTTATCCAAGTGGTTATTCAATAATACGAGCGTTTGGTATAAGACCGAGCACCACTTATGATGAACGCTAGGTAGATGACCGAGCACCAATGATGACGAACGCTTGGTATAAGACCGAGCGCCATTTAGGACGAACGTTGGGTTTAAGACCGAGCGTTACTTATTTTAAGAAGTAATTTAATGTTATTGAATTTAAGGTATACGACACCTCTATGCTGAGCCGAACGCTCAAACACAGTGATTCCAATGCGGACGCTCGTTCTCAAACCGAATTCTTCCCGAATGAAAGGATTCCATTCTAAGTCATTTTCAGGGAAACCGAACGGTATAAGACCGTACGACGACGAGCGTAATTTATCATAAGGAGAATTATCATATTCAGATTTTTCAACTATCTTAACTCAACATTTCTCATTCGATTCATACTTTATAAATCCATATCCATCATTAATTCACATACTTTATAGAGTTCATCATATTAACAAATCAAACTATACAATAGTCACCCATCTTTCAATCCATACGTATCAAAATCAACATACAGTTCAACCAACAGAGATCATATTCATCCAGTACTACAGTGTTCGTTCAGGCATATTCAAACAGAAGATATACATATATCCATATCATACTTTTATACAACATACAAGTATAAATTAAATTAATAAGCTACCCTTACCCGGATCAGTGAGTACAACGTCCTAAGAGTCCGAATTTGACTTGTCCAACTATGGCTTTTCTACACTCAACGGTTTTTCTTAAGTTCTTCACTAAATCAAACCAAAAGAAACGTAGGAGAATTTAGCACATAACCTTGCATGCAACTGAATCTGGGTTCGCAGGAATTCCAGAAACGAGCGTCTAAGTTGAGAAACTTACCGGTTACAGAATCGAAAGTGATTCGGTCCAAAATGAAGCTCAAAGCGTAGGGAAAGTTCCTACAGTTCTGAATGTTGAACGGAGAAGAAATGGATGAGTAACAGTAGAGAGAAGTTGAAGACTTTCTAGAGAGAAGGTAGAGAAAATGAAGAGTTGAGTTCTGAGGAAGAAGAAGAGTGAGTACAGGTGAGTGGGAGAGTTTTTCGAAAATCCAGTTTTGTTCAATCCATGTCCGTTTGGACGAACGTCTCCTCTGCCGACACCTGTACACCCACTTCTGACTTTGGAAACTTCTAACGTGACAAGTGGCACTCGTGCATGCAGTGCTTAGTGGGTTTTTAATGGCTCTGAACCAGTGACGTGGGTGCATTAATTTGATGTGACAGAGATTTTCAGTGTTAATTATCTAGGGCCTCACACCCAACCTATACAATAATAAGATAAATTTAATTCAATCATAAATGAAACCCAACTCAATTAATACTTATAAAAAATTAAACTAAATTACAATACTAATACTTTTAGTAGTTATAAATGAATTTAATAGCATTTTCTATCTTTGTAAATATCATTCAATATATTTTTCTTTATTTATTTTTTACTTAATGTGATTTATATATTTAAAAAAAACCCCAATATGATATCTTTCTTTAAATCAACGTTAACATCCTCAAATCATAATTAACATTGATCTAAGAAAAAATAGACATTAAACCTTTTTAAAAATTGTAGAAATTACATTAAATAAAAAAAATTCAATCATTGTTATAAATTTAGGAGAAAAAACATACTATATATTAAGTCTTACAAATAATAATATATTGACATATATCTTACTATTATAATGTAAACTATTATTATTATTATTATTAGAATGTTACAAATTATAATTATAGTTTTCCTAATTTACAATTTTTATTAATCATATAAAATTCTCAACATGATTTATTTTATATTTAAAATATTTAAAAGGATATTATCACGAACTTTAGATCATTTGGTTAAGGAATATAAGTTTCAAGATTGATTGGTAGATAATTTCTTTTTTCCTGTGATTTTAGTTTATACATTTTATAGAACTTACATTTTATAGAACTTACAATTAGTTTATACATGTTATTTATTGTAAATTTTAGTTATATAAATATTTACTTTGTATAGCAGAGGAGCTTATCATTATTCTCTCGTAATGATCAGAAAGATGGACACGTGTAGGAAGGCACAATTTATGAACAGTGGAGATTCCTGCACTAGATTTCATTCAATAAATAAATAATGCTCACTTTTTCTACTAAAAATAATTTTAAAAAAATGGTGGAAAGATAATGTGCATCCGTTTCAAACCACACGATTTTGCGACCTTATTTTGGACCCCCGGTGGCGGTAGCGGTGGCCGGCGATTGATAGTGGCGTTGGAGTATAACATGGGTACTACTCCTTTCTTCTTTTACTTTCTCTACAACATCAGAGAACACTGTTCTTTCCTTCTTCATATCGGTTAATCGTGTTTCTCTGTTTTTACTGTTTCTGGATCCGTATTCTAGAAGCTTCCTTCTTTTCTCTCACACTTTTGCTCGCGACCTTCTGATTTCTCTCTACGATTGATATGAATTTTCATGCTTTTCTTCCTGGATCGATGCTCTCTCTTCGTTTTTATTATCGTTATTGGTATAAAAATAGATTCTCGTCTATTAAGTTGATTTCAACGACAGAACGTGTTTACATTTTGTAAGGATTGCAGATTTGATGAGTTTTATTTTTGACATCCTAGTGCAACTTTTTTTTTTGTTTTGTTCGTATTACCTTGTCAGTAGTAAAAGCACAAATCGTTATGATATTATTATATTATTTTGATTATGACCCAATATTAGTTAATTTTGGGGATGACTTGTTTCTAGTTGTTGTCTTGAAGTTGCAAGCATTGAATATAGAGCCATGTCTACATGCGATGTATGTATGTTATGTAGGAGTGAGATGATTATTTATTTAGGTAAACTACTTAGTCCTTATTTGTATAACCTTTTTATAAATACTTGTATGAATAAGGGAATATGAACTTAAAAATGCATTTAGTTTCTCTTCAAGTTAAAATTAACTAATGTACCTTAGGTTTTGGAGAAAGTTAAATGCATAAGTTGATTTTAGCTTATAAAAAAAGTTCAATTTGTTTTACCTTTTCTTATTTCTTTTTTCGTGCTTATGAAGAAGTTTATCTGAACAGGACCTTTATTTAGTACTTATTGATACTGTAAGATTGACTGTAGTAAATTAAAATAAAAAACTTATCTTGACTTTGATAAGTTTCTCTGGCAAACTCTGTGAAGTTAAAATTTACTTACACCAAAGCATATGTATGTACAAATTGTCGTTGTTTCTTTATCAGTTTTTGGCTTTTTAATTCTTGTTAGTAACAACTATATTGGAATTTTTAGTATGTGCAGGTGTGTCATTGTTTCAATTGTTTTTTTTTTCAGCCCAGTCAACAAATTGTATCTTTTGTCTCTAGTATTGCTGTATCGTCTGTTTGTTCTATCTTTCGGAGATTTTATCTGTATGACCAAACTTTCGTCTTTACCATGTTTTAGTATCATCATCTGTACTTGGTGTTTGAGTCTACTCACTGTCTATTTTGTTCTCTAGCTGTTTCATGACTGATTTCTGTTAAGATCAGTTTATGTTGTTAAGCCTTGTATAACAGTTTATGAGAGTATATTTGTGAGATTACATATTTGAAGCTTTTTGTAACTCATAGAGAGAGTATTTTGTAACGCTTTTAGAGAAATTGAGTATTCTGAGAGAATTCCACGTAACACCGAGAGAGAACTTGTTCTCGTTGATAGTGTGGCTTTTGTGTGGATGTAGATTGGTGTTGGTTAACACTCTTATTGAACCATGTTATATCATGTGTGTGCTTTGTTTCTTTGTTCTTTTCTTGTTTCTTGAAGTTCTTGATTAGTGAGCTTTACCATTTTATTGAATTGTTTCACATCAAATTTGTGGGGTGAGAGTGGAATGAAAAACCTCTATGGGTATTGCAAAATATGATGTTGAGAAGTTCACCGGGAATAATGATTTCAAATTGTGGTCGTTGAAGGTAGTAGCACTTATTGTTGAATAGGGTTTATGAGAAACGCTTGATGGTGAATCTAAGAATAATGCAACTATGATTGAGAGAGACAAGAAAACATTGTTAGAGAATGTTCAGGTGCAATTGTTTTGAGTCTTGGTGACAAAGTGTGTAGACTGGTGTGAAAGGGATTTGGACTAAACTTGAAGATTTGACTAAACTTGAAGATTTGTATATGGCGAAATCTTTGGTTAGTCATTTGTATCTAAAACAAGCTTTGTGTTCATTCAAGATGAATAGTGAACATCCCATTGATAAATAGTTGGATGAATAAATACAATTCACTTTGTTTTTTAGCAATTAAAATTGTCTTCTTCATGGCAAGGTTCTTCACAACACAATAAGAAGAGAAAAAAGTTAGCGAACAATTAAAATCTTTTGTATAGGTATAAGGCTATTTTCTGGGACATATAAAAATCCTATAATGCAATAGATGATTCTAAATGAGTACTCTATCACCATTAGCAACTATAAAACATCCTTTAATGCAATAGATGATTCTAAATGAGTACTGCTTATACTTTTGGATCTACGTATGGGTACTCTATCACCATTTGCAACTATAACGAGTTGTTCTTTGGTCATTTTGACGTATGAATTGAAGAGCTTAGGAAAATGAGTCATGTAATTGCTTTTGAATCAAACATCCAACACCTTGAGATAAACGATGAATAATATTGAATGTACTCTCACCTTTTTTATCTTTCATTAGTACGGTATATGATCTAGAGGACATAGTCATTGATTCAATTATTGTTTCCAAATGATGAAGTTTCTCTTTAAAAACTTTCATATTGGATATTGAAAAACACAAAAACAAAGAGATAATAAAAAGTTCAACATTTATTGCTTTGATTCATAATAAAAGAAGATTTTATTAACAACAAAACCACATCAGAGTCAAATGAGACGTCACCCCTTGGTGCTCAAGAGGTCCCAACAACCCTGTATGTCGTGGCACCGGGTGGGGCACACCTTTTTGGCCAACCACTAACCTCAATGATGATGGTGAACAACGATGGTTAATAAGGTAACAGAAACAAGAGCTTTGATACAAACTTGAACTAAGGTAAGAAAATAAAGAATTATTTTATTGATATCAATCGCACCAATAACATTCTTATCATCTATATTTGTAATCACCAAAATGTTTGCAAAAGGTAATACAAATATGTATAATAAATAGAAAGATTATGAAGATATTTTTCCCTAATTACTATGGAAATATTAAAAATATTTTTTAGCCTAATAATATATTATTTACAACATAGAGGTGATGCAAAGTTTGTGATTGTCATGAAGGGTGTGAGGAAAAGTGACTTGTATTCCTTGGAGGGTACTATAGTTACTGGTTCTGTGCTTGTTGTTGTTTAGAAATAATTGTTGAGAATTGAGTTATGACACAAAAGGTTAGTTCATATGGTGAAAGAGGTTTGGTTGAATTACAAAAACAGGCGTTATTTGCTGATAAAACACTTGACAAATTGAAGTTTTGTCATTACCACGTTTGTGGTAAAGCCTATAAGGTCAAATTCAATACAACACAACAAAGAACAAAAGAGACTTTGGATTATGTTCGTGATGATCTCTTAGTACCATCAAGAACTCTGTCACAGTCTTGGACAAGGTATTTCCTTTAGAGTAATGGTTGCTCAAAGAAATTATGAATCTATTTTTAGAAGACCAAGGATAAAGGTTTTGAGAATTTCAAGATGTGGGTGCATCTAATGGAGAATGAGACAGGGAGAAGTGTAAAGAGATTTAGAACGAATAATAATAGTCTTGAGTTATGTTTAGAGTTATTCAATAACTTCTGTAAATAGAATGGTATAACATGAAAGAACTATGGTTGGAACTGCTCAACAAAATGCCCTAATAGACAGATTGGATAGGACCATTTTAAAGAGTGAGATGTATGTTGCATAGTGCAGAGTTCCAAATATCTTTTGGGTTGAAGCAATTTCCATTGTTGCCTATTTGATCAATAGATGTCCATCAGCTACTCTGGAGAGAAAGACTACTGTGAAATCTGGTTAGGTCATTCTTCTAACCTTAAAAATTTGAGAATCTTTGGTTATGTTGCTTATGCTCATATTAGGCAATATAAGCTGATAATAGGAACTGGTAAATGCATGTTTTTAGGATATCATGAAGGGGTGAGGGCATACAACTCATGGTGTCTTGAACTGAGATTCAAGAGGTGTATTATCAACTATCATGTTATTTTCAATGAGATTGTGATGGCTTATAAATCAAAGGCTTTTGAGTTTGTTGAGAGTCGAGATGCCAAGATAAAGAAATCTAACTTTGATTGAGGTAGTGCCAAGAGTTTTCTCTGATTTTCTTTTGACAGACCATGATGAGTTGGGAGAAGATCTTACTAAAGAGCACCGAGTTGATGATGGTTAAAGTGTAGCACAAGGAAGGACCGGGAGAGTCATCAAACCACCAGAAAGGTATGAATATGTAAATTTAATTGTATTTCTCGTGTGGTAGCCAGGGAGGTATTTTGTAAGATGAACCCAATTGTTTTAAATTTGCTTTAGCAAGCTAGGAGAAGAAAGAATGATTGAACAACATGAATGAAGAGATGAAGACAGATAATCGTACGTGTAGGTTGATAAGGAGACTTGGTGCAAAGATTGATCAGTGTAAATGGATTTTAAAAAAATGATGAAATTCTAGGGATTGACCAGGGAAGGTTTAAAGGAAGATTGATTGCTAGAGGTTTTACTCAAAGGAAGGGGATTCATTATAATGATGTGTTCTCCCTCGTAGTAAAGCATAGATCAGAGCAAATACTCCTATTTTCTGAGTTTGATCTTGAATTGGAGCAAAAGGGAGTCAAGACTGCCTTCTTCTATGGAAATCTCTAGGAAACCATTTTTATGAAGCAACCATAAGGGTTTGAGGTGAATGGTAAAGAGGAACAAACAGTTTGATCAGTTTATGACTCAAATGGTTTCATGTGAAACAAGCTTGATAAGTGTGTTTATTTCAAACTCTTACCTGACAATCACTCACTGTAATATTGTTGCTCTATGTTGATGATATTTTTATATATCAAGCAATAGTAAGTCTGAAGTTGGGAAGGTGAAGACTGAGTTGAATAGTGTATGAGAAGAACTTGGAAACAATAAAGAAGGTCTTGGGGATTGAGATCATGGGAGAAGAAAAGAAGCTGTTATACCTGGCTTGGAGATCCACCTTAAGAAAGTCTTTGATAAGTTCGGAATGACAAACTTGAAAACTGTTTATTCACCTTTAGCTTAGCATTTGAAGCTAAGTTGTAAACAATATCGTAAGACAGATGAAGAGTGCGGTTATATAGATACAATTTCATATGCAATCATTGTTGGTCTATGGTGTATGCAATGATTGCACTTGACTTGATACTACTTGTGTCATGAGTATTATGAGCAAATTTATGTCAAATCTTGGGTAGGAAAACTGACAGACTCTTAAGTACATCATGTTACGAGGCACTTAAAGGGGGTCTCATGGCAGAGTTCAGTTTATGGTGGAACTAGAGTTTCTGTTAGAACAATTGCTTTGGTACAATTTTTAGATTCAAACTATGTTGGATGTCTAGATACTAGGATATCTCTCGCAGGTTATGTTTTCATTAATTATGGCTATTAGTTGGAAGCCAAGTTTATAGAAAGTGTGGTTTTGTCTATCACTGAAAGTTGAGAATATGGCCATATCAAAAGTTGTGAAGGAAGCATGTGGCTCAAGGGTTTTGTTGAAGAGCTGAGAATGCACTATCAAATTGTCATAGTGCATTGTGATAACATTTATTAAAGAACCGAGTTTGTCATGAGAGAACCAAACATACTGGCACTAAGTTGCATTTTGTAAGAGAGGAGATTGCCAAAGAATTTGTGAAGGTGAAGAATATTTCAACAAATCATAGTCCCTTTGATATGATTACAAAAATGCTTCCAAACTTTTAAGTTCTACCATTATTTGGGTTTGATTGGGAATTAAGTGTTGTTCTGGGCTTGTACCTGTTCCCTACCGAGTTTTAGAGAAGTTTGTTCATGAACTAAGGTGGAGATTTATTGTTTTTTGGCTCGGTCAACTAGATGTATCGACTATCTCTAGCATTGTGATATCACCTGTCTATTCTATCAACTGGTGAGTTTATCTTTAGGACCAAAGCTTAAGTCTATATTGTGTTTCAGTATCATCATCTATACTTGGTGTTTGAGTTGCTCAGTGTCTGTTTGTTCTCCAGCTGTTATGAAACTGATTTCATTTACAAATCAGTTAGTATGTTTTGTTGTTAAGGCTTGTATGTAGTCTTATATCCTTGCGATGGTTACATAGCAGTGCATCCAAGTGTGTTTGTGAGATTACATACCTGATATTTTCTGTAAGTCATTGGGAAGTCCCTTTAACTTATGAGACATAACTTGTTCTTGTTGATAGTTTGATTTTTTTGAGGATGTAGAATGGAGTTTGTTAACACTTTAATTGAACCATTTATAACTTGTGTGTGCTCTATTTCCTGGTTCTTTTCTTGTTCCTAGAAATTCTTGGTTTGTTCATTATTACGATCTGGGCTTTCTTGATTTGTGAGCATTCCCATAGAACTGGCGTGTTTCACATCAGTTTCTTTATCAGTCTTTGGCTTTCCAATTCTTCTTGGTATGAGAACACTTCAGTTGAATATATTAAAGCATGTTAGAATGGAATGTAGAAGCATTTTAATTTTGTTTGGATTGTTGTGGTTTTGTACTGTGAAGAGGATTGGTAAGCCGTGAGAACATGTTGTTGAGAAGCATAGTCCGTGAACTCAAGGAGATGAGAGATGGAATAGGAAGCACATCTAAGCGGGGTGCAGAAAGCAAGCTACGGCTCAGTCGAACAAAGTCACATATTGCTCCAGATGTTCTTGCAACTACATTTGAATTTATTCAACAGGGACAATGGGCAAATCTTCCACAAGAATTACTTTTTGACATAATCCAAAGGGTTGAAGAGAGTGAAACATCTTGGCCTGACCGAGCTGTTGTTGTCTTCTGTGCTTCTGTATGTAAATCTTGGAGGTCGATTACAAAAGAGATTGTCAAGACTCCGGAACAATGTGGAAGGATCACATTTCCTATTTCATTGAAGCAGGTAATAAATTCTTCACCCCTTTTCTGCCGTACTCTTTTACGTTTCTTATGTTTTTCTCCTTTTGTGTGTATGGATAGCCTGGTCCGCGTGATTCTCCAATACAGTGCTTTATAAGGAGGAACAAAGAAAGTTCTACATATCTGTTGTACTTTGGTCTGGTACCATGTAAGTTATTTCATTGCTGAAACCTTCCATCCCTTTTTTAAAATGAAGGGATATGATATTTCTCAACTTTAAATTGCTCTTTAAAAGATTGGCATTAGTGACTATGAATGTTAAACTTCATGGATTTTTTATAAATATTTTATTGTCATTTACTTTGTCGGTGTCAGCATCATTTTGTCTTTATATTTCGCTGTCTTTATATTTCCTTTGTGAAATTAGCAACTTGGCATCAACATAATTGTTAACATTAATATAGTGTGTGGCAGAATGCACGTTGCTTGGACATAAAATCTTATCTACATATATAACTTAAATGGTGGTTGAGTAAGATAGAAATGAACTTTAAACCTCTTTATGCATTCAAAGCCAAAATTTTGCTTTGTTTTCCTCCTTTCATGATCTATTTGTTGATCCATCTCACTGAAGTTTGATAGAGAACGAGGTTTTGATATTCTATTTGAGAAGCTTGTTTTGGCTTTAATTGTACAGCAGAGAATGACAATAACAAGTTATTATTAGCGGCCAAAAGGATAAGAAGGGCAACAGGCACTGATTTTGTCATATCCTTGGCCACAGATGATTTTTCCCGAGCCAGCAATAAATATGTTGGTAAACTGAGGCAAGCTTTTGGTCGATAGAAGCCTTACTTACCTTCTTTTCAATTTTCTCCTTGCCTCTTGTCATCTTTAATATTTGATGTTGTACTTTTGGCAGGTCTAATTTTTTGGGTACCAAGTTCACCATACATGACAGTCAACCTCCCCATGATGCTGCAATTCAACCCAATTGTCAATCTAGTAGGAGATTTCATTCTAAGCAGGTCTCACCAAGAGTTCCAGCTTGTAGCTACCTTGTTAGCACAGTTTCCTACGAGCTGAACGTCCTTTGCACTAGAGGGCCAAGAAGAATGCATTGTGTCATGAACTCTATACCCGTCTCAGCAATTCAGGAAGGGGGCAACGCCCCAACTCCAACTTCTTTCCCTCAAATATTTGATGAATCTTTTTCTCCATCACCAGCACCGAAAGAAAAAGTTCCAGTCCCCGATTTAAACTCTGCAAGCTTATCAGAGCCACTAATATCGAGCCAAGTTTCAACTGAGCAATTAGAACTGAAAAACAAGGCTCCACGATGGCATGAGCAGCTACAGTGCTGGTGCCTAAACTTCAAGGGTCGTGTGTCTGTGGCTTCTGTTAAGAACTTTCAGCTTGTAGCTGCTGTTGATCCATCTCATAACATTTCTGCTGAGGAGCAAGACAAGGTAATCCTGCAGTTTGGAAAGATTGGAAAAGACATATTCACCATGGATTACCGTTATCCGCTCTCTACCTTCCAAGCCTTTGCCATATGCTTGAGTAGCTTTGACACAAAACCTGCCTGTGAATGAGATTCATGACCACAACTTGAGCATCATCTGCTGAGTTGTTGATTGTCAATCATGGTGACGTGCAGCTGAAAATTTAGCTGTTCAGCCAGTGGTAACCTTCCCTTGAATCGGTTGTTGATTCTGGAATTTGTTCTATTTGTTATCTCCTGGTCGCCTTAAATGAAATTGTATGAAGTTTAATGATTTGTGTAATATATGTTCGGGGTATTCCTCCCTTACAAATGTTTTTGATTTGTTTAAAGAGTTTAATGGCAATGCCTTATTAATATAAAAACACCATCAATCAAGTTGCACGAGAATGAATTTTGAGGTAGTTATTATAAAATATCAATAAATTTGTCCTGTAGTGATTTAAGATTAGATAACCATGTAAATCTTTTTTTTTGAGTGTACTACTTTTTGCTTATGTAAATACTGAATTTTCAGTTAACATTCTTTGCAGATGTTTATAACGTTGAACAACTCTTTTAGCAAGAGATGAATATCATTACTCATTAACGCTCTTACAGGTGAATTGCTTGTACTTCATATCTTCGTTTAGCGAGAACTGGCTAAACATGTTTCTCTCCGTGCTCTTGTTTAGGTGAATAACAATTGAACCATTGGTAGACTTCATTTCTATTTGTGTTCCACTTGGCATTGTGGTTCAGATTCATGGTACAAGATACGGGTTTGGGTCAACTTGTTACCACACTAGTGCTCTATTAGTTTGGTGTTAGATTGTTCCCAAATAATTGCAAAGAAGGATTTGAGGGTGAAGATAAAATATTCGCATATCTAAGAGCGAGAGAATGAGAGGTATTGTGGGATAGAGTGATTTTTGAATCTTGATTAAATCAATTGATTTGAGGATGATAAGTTTGAAAATATATTTTTTACCCTTTACCTTTTCTTCATGTTTATAGTGTTGGTGTTGGAGTATTGCTTTCAGCAAGACAGATTCCGGGCTAACTCAATTTGTGCGAGCTATCTCATCCATGGGGACGCAACATTATGTATTTCGAAATGCAAAGCCCCTAGGATGGATGTTATAGACTCAGTTTGAAAAACTTACTACAAAGCTAAACGACTTCAACGATGTGATAAGATCAAGTAACTCTCATTTTGAGAAAATATCATCTATAATAGAGCGACAAATGGTTGCCATTGATAAGCACAATGATATTCTTAGTAAGCAAGTGAGGATGATGCGTCGTAACGCAACATTCCAATATACCGAGAGTGACGTATGGAAAATGTTAGCGACATGAATATACAAGAAGATAAACAATGATAAATTTTTTGTGTACAAATCTCGTCTACACCAAAAGATTAATAGACATGTCCACCCATCATCAATGAAATAAGTTACTTAACATGATGATGGGTAGTAGTTGAGTCCATGAATGTAACGAATACTTATGTTTGTTTTATTCTGTCATGAAACATTATGATTATGTACAATGTTCTTTTGGACTATATTATTTATGTTTGCATTTTAAATGTAGCAAGTGAGTGTTTACTTATTATTGTTTCTTTTCTTATATCATTGTTATTCTCATTTCATTGTTTTTAAAGTTAATCTTTAATGTTGTCATCATCATCATAAAAAATTCGTAAAAGTCAAAAGGGAAAACATTTGGTCACTAACACAAACCTTCTTACACCTAAGAAGCCATTACTCGAAGATGTTTTAGATCGACGACGTTTTTTTAGCAATTATCATTAGATAAAGCACTATGGAAATGAATTTTATATAAGAAGAATTATGGCACTAAAAATTTATGAATTATGATTCCTTTGTTACATTCGGTTTTTATTTCCATCATCATCTAGTATTTCAAGGGCTCGTTGACTTTGTAGCGTTAGACTGTTCATTATATACAAATTTGGTAAAAATGTTCTATTCAAATTTAAGGATCTCTGCAAATGGAAACCTACTAAGTGAGGTTAATAGGAAAAAATATTAAAATAAAACTAAATGATTGGTTTAATATTACCCATCTTAAGCATCAAGGTAAAAAAATGTTCTTTGCAGATTTACCAGAAGATCTACCCTTCGATCATGACATGACATTGGCTTCTATGGTGAGACCGAACATGCAAGGTCAATGTGTGAAGACTGTTGTTGTCTTAACATAAATGAGAATCTTCACTATGTTGTGGTGCATATATTGATTCAAAGTGGTGGTAATTTTACAAAATGGCTGCAAAAGATATTTTTATGATATAGGTGTTGAAATATAATGGAGTAGATATTTCAACTGACGAAAGCACAATTATTGGGTTGAGACAATATTTTTCCACAAATTCTTTGAAGAAGTTCAATATTGTTAATGTCAAGGTATATGACAACACGATCGTTCAATTAATGATGATGAAGGACAACTAGAAAAACAAAGTCTCGGGCTTGATGAATCTGTTGTAGGAACGCACCAATTTGGTGGTCAAATTCTGAATTCTTAAGTCAAATGTGGGAAAGGGTGCAAGACTTGCAAATCAGAATGCAAAGAATAAAAGATATACAAGGATTTATCCAACTTGACTCTAGATATAAACCAATAGATGATAGAAGTGAATTTTAGTGTCAATTTAATTTTCTAAAAATTAAAGGATTAATAAGGCTCTACTCGTATAATTGTATTATGATCTTCTTTGCTTCATTATATTCTAACAATTTTAATTATATTTTATTAAATATTACTTCTTAACTCTTTTTTATTGTCACTTCAACTTACTACTCTACAAATAAGATGAGCATTAAAGGAAGCAAATTTTCAAAGAAGACAAATATCTGCCGTTGTTGATCGACAACTTGTAGTTATTAAACGTCGAAATGTCTTCTTACTAAGAGAAACAACCTAATTGATGGTACTCCTTCATCATAATATATCACAGAACAAATTTCTCACTTATTAACAACAATAAGCATTCAAAATAACAACTTATTGAAACAATGCTTCAATTTTCTCTTTTCACACTCATCCCATACAAGATGTATAATGGAGATGACAACACAATAAAGTTGAAACTTATATAAATGAAATACATTTATTTTTATTTATCATAAATCATATTGTAACTTCTCATCTATGTATTCGTATGTCATATTTTAAGTTGACTTTATTAATTTTGTGATCGTAAATATTTAATATCAATGAACCAACCAATAAACATTCATAGTCTTCCATAATTAGAATAATATTAATAAAAAAAATGGTATTCAAAATTACTAAAAAATAAAAATACCTTGTGTGACTAAATTATATAGTAAAAAAAATTATTATCAAAACATAATTTTTAGTGTGTTACCGAAATATATTGTATTATTTATTTTATATATATATATATATATATATATATATATATATATATTTTAATTTTAGTATTTCAATTAATTTTTATATTACTATTAACATAAAAGATAATTTGGTAATTTTTATTTTTTATCTTTTAACTTTTTTTTACTTTATCATATTAGTCAAATCACTCACAAACTTTCACAAATTTTACTTTCAAATTTATTCATTATCACCTCCAAATCCCTTAAGAAAACAACACATATTTTAGTCTCAAATTTATTCACTCACTCTTTCTAAAGTCCATCGTCAAAAAGTAAACACACCCAAAAGTGAACACACCCTACTTGTAAGTAAACCCAAAAGGATCCATGATTCACATGCCATGATGATTATATTAACCTTTCTATTATTTATTAACTTAAAGAAAAAAAAGTAAATATTGAAAATAAATAGGTTTAATTTTATGGTCGAAAAATGTTTTTTATCCATCCAAATACTAGCCTACATCTAGTCTTTTTTTACTATCTTTAAATGTCCTATCAATAAAATAAATTACGGTTCCTTCTCATTTACCACAAGTACATAATCACTTAAGGTCAAAGATCTCGACAACACTCCTTCACACTTTACTTCAAAAAAGCTTAGGTAGCTCTGAACATTCTTAATCAAAATCCTTCTCTGTTCTCGCTCCAAACCGTCCAGTGTACCTATCAAAGGCACTCCGATGCTCAAGTCAGTGATTAATTCGATCAGGTGCCACAGTAAAATCTTAAATTCACAATAAATGTAATCACCTACCTTCTTACCTTTGACCTCTATTCATAGGTTTCGAAGTGGGCTTGTGATTAGTGAAATCCTAATCACGGCCCATTACCCATTAAATATTTCTTACCAGTAACCTTGTTTAGAAGTGATGTTTAGAGGTAATTGTTGTTGGAGGTCGTCCGTTTGGTCTCTCATTCTTTCATGACCGTGCGGTTGGTTAATAACATTTATTTATCTTGATTGTTTGACACGTGGTGGTGTTGAACTCAGCTTATTCAGTCAGTCGCTCCTCCTTAGTGGTATTGAGTCGATTCCTCTAAGTGATTGTATGACCATACTGTCAAAACTTTTATTTTTCCTTGAAATATAGAATGTAATTATTTCTTTTATAAGTCATTTCTAGTTTTTCCAACTATCTTGTAATCGTCACTTCTAAATACGATAAAAAAAGTTGTTTAATTCTAAATGCAAGTTGTCTAAGATACAAAACATTCAAAAGAGTGCATATACAAAAATATAACTAGTTATTGAAAAATTAAATAGCATTTTCTTTATTTATCATTCGATAAATGTTCTATGATCTAGTATTTAAGAACATGAAATAGAGTTGCATGCAAAACAAATTATCATTTCACTAAGAATTATTAATTGATGTAGCAAGTAACGGGGATTAAATAAACTAAGTCAACAATCGAAAAGTGATATTTAGATTATTATGTTCTTAATTAGAAAAAATCATACTCCAACTATCAAGTATAACTTTTAACATGATAATAAACGTTTGGTTGGAACATTAGTATCATAGTACACCCTTAATTACTTTGAAATCATTAGATATGGCTTTAAAGATGAGTATTTTAAATGTTAATATTTTACTATACATGATTTTTTGATTCAGAGGTGAGGTAAAATTTTGAAATGTTTTTAGTTTATTGTAAAATGTTAATAATTAAAATTTGAATAATAATGATATTAAATATTTATAATTAAGATTTTAAGAGTATTTATAGGTTTTGAACTCGATGACTCAAACCGAGTCAATCAATTATACATCACATTGTTTTTGAACGACCTAGAATTCCCCCACACTTTTAGTTTTGCACGTCTCTAGTCTTTTCTCCATATTTTATTTTTCTCTACTTTTTCCTTACGCTCGAGAACATATTATTGACTAGGCTGCCCAAAATGACCAATCTTCAATATTTTCTTTTTGTTATTATTTCTTATTTTCTCCAAT